GCAGAGCTCTGCTCGGGACAGCTCTCATGGCAACGGGCACTGATGTCATAATAATAGAGAGACAGAACAACCCAGATGCTGAGGAGCACAGCAATGCAGTCCATTCCATCCCCTGGGCAGGAGAAATTGGCTGAGGGATTATTGTGTTCTTGTGGAAAGCAGTATTTCCATGGAAGCTGTAAGGGTATTGCTAATGTAAATATTGATAAAAATATCAAAACAGGAGAGTGTTCACCAAGCCTCTTGTCCAGCCACAAACACAGTTTCAAAACTACAGCTAAGACAAACTGGGGGAAAAACAAAATAGCCTCGAAATCAATACTGAAGACACCAAACAAACTAAACCCCCAGGAAATCTCCACAGTCCCTTCCCAGTTTTCAAAATGACACTACTGGGAGAACCAAAATGGAGAAATTACGCCATAGAGATTGAAAATACGTTACACCACAAGTCCAAACTGTCACCCTGCCTCCCATGTCACATAGAGGAAAACGTCAGAAGATGAGGACAGAAAAAACCCCACATGTGATACCACCACAGTCAGCAGTCAGCAAAGGCAATAAGGAATAAGGCAGTACATAAGGCCTGGGGACTGACACCACCACAGCCTGTCCTGCACACCAAGCTCGGGTGCAAATGCTACACATCAGCAAGCTTTGTCTCCAAAACTCAAACACTGAGGCAACACAAGACAACTCTCATCAGAATCAGCAGTGATTTCATTCTATGGAAGAACAAATCATATCCACAGCAGCAAATCTCAGCTGCGAACCCCAAGGAGTTACCGCGATACCTTTATCCGACACAGATAAAAAAGGATAAACATATTTAAGCACCTGTAAAGAAACCACCCGCACAAGCCATGGGCGCGGAGCCCGGAGCCCGACAAGGCCGTCCCAGGGGGCGGGACAGAAAGGTCAGAGGGAGGAGGGAATAAGTAGACGAGAGCAAGGGATTGTCACTGACCGTGTCGAGGAGAGAGGGAGGCTCCGGCTGCGTGTCCTTGGCCGCGGCGCCGGGCGGCGGCGGGAAGTTGGGGCTGAAAACCATCAGGTCGCTCTTGGCCGCGCCGTCCGCCAC